GCGGGCAGCGGCAGCGCGTTCACGACGGCCAGGACGCGCTCCGTCCTGGTGATCGACAAGCATAAGATTAAGACACGGTGATTTTAAGAAGGGGGAGCTTGGGAAGAAGAAGAGGAACGTACTTGTCGTGGGCCGTCGGGGTGTAGCTAAGCGGCCGAAGCCGCGCCGAAAGAGCCATGGCACGCAGGCTGGACGAACAGGAGTCTGCGAGCAGGGCGCCCACCTGCACCTGGGGCAGCTGCGAGTCCCGGGACAACTGCTGGTTGAGTCTCTGGAGTGCCCAGAGGAAGGCTTCTACTTTGCGGATGGCGACCACATCGAGACCATCATCGTCCAGTCCAGCGGGGCAGTCCAGCGCAGTGTCCGAGTCTCCCTGTCGTAGCGGAATCAGCAGTAGGACGTACACGCCTTGGGGAGACTCGACCAGGCGCAGAAAGTCGGGCTGCTCAGGTTCGCTGTCCGAGTCCAGCACTTCGGCGGGTTCGGCGGGGTCCGCGGTCGAGTCGCGCTGCAGGTGGTTGTCCTGGTAGTTGGCCCAGGACTCGATTCGCCGGCCGCCGGCCGTCCGGCTGGGCCGCTGCAGCGGCAGGCAAGTCCTCTCGCACTCAGCGGCGCTTTGCATGCTGGGCCGGGTGGCGCACACGCCCACCTGTACAGACACGCGTGTAAGGAATGCGCCTGCACCTCAGACAGACACTGACCTGCGTACCGGTGGGCAGCAGACCTACCTCCTCCGGGTGGAAGGCGTCGTCGATGACGCTGACGCTGCTGCTGCTGGCCACGCTGTTGTTGTTGCTGACGCTGATGGAGCTGGCCGTCAGCACGGCCCTCACCTGCGGCCGGTCACCGCCCAGCTGGTAGCGGTACAAGGTGAGGTCTCGGGGCGGCAGCAGCAGCTCCCCCCAGCGCGCCTCCCAGCCGCTGTCCTGCACGCGCTCCCCGCGGGCCATGGAGGCCGCCAGCGGCGCGAAGTAGGCGCTGAGGAACTCGGGGCGCGACATGGCGGCCCAGGGCGGGCACGACCCCGAGACCTTCCCTGGACACTTGTCGCGCCAGGACCGCTTGAGCGCCAGGGCGAAGGTGAGCACGGGCTGGGCGGCGGCCAGAAGCGAATCGGATCGCAGCGCGACCGTCAGAGAGTCGATGGACTTGTTGTCGGATCGGCTGTCGGGGAGCAGCTCCTCCAGGGCCTCGGCGGCGGCGGACCCGCTGCTGGAGGTGGCCAGCGAGTACACGGTGGCGCCCTGCGGCAGCAGTGCGGCGTCCTCGCGCGCCACCAAGTCGGACAGCAGCAGCATGAGGGCGGCCGGCGCGGCGGGGGGGATGTCGGCCTCGAACAGGGCGTCCCGGAGTGCCTCCAAGAACGGACGCATCGAGGACCGCGGCAGCAATACGACCACGGGCAGTCCCGACACGGCGGCATCCGACACCACGTCGAGCACCTGGAGAAGGAAACACATGTGTTAATGGAGTTATCATCCAGCCCGACGTAACCTTCCACTGATGAGGTTCAGTTTGTGTCAAAGACGTGGTCGAAGCCTGCCTTACCCCGTCGTGCGCGCGCTGCTCCTGGCCCTGGCCGTCGAACACAAACGTCTCGACGGAGTCCACGCAGAAGTCCGCCGTGCGGAGGCCTCCCGCCAGCTGGGCCACGGCCTGCCAGAGCTCGTCACTGTACGCGTCCGCCCCGCGCACCACCACGAAGCGGCGCCACTCGAGGCGCTGCAGCACGGCGACCAGCGCCTGCGCGCGCTGCACGGGCTGGACCAGGTGGCTGCTGTCGATGGCGGCCACGGGGACCATGGCCTCCGCCAGCGCGTGGCGCACCTCCAGGTCGGCGTCGGCGTCCGTGCGGGTCAGCCCGGCGCCGTCCAGGACGCCCACCGTGCGGAGGCCCGGGACGGCAGAGGAGGACTCCGCGGCGCTGCTGCCCGCCGAGGGGACGCCCGGGGGTGGACCGCCGGGGCCCAGCTCGGGGAGCAGCTCGGCCAGCTGCGACACGGCGACCCGGGGGCGACCGCAGTGGTCGAACACGCGCACACCTGAGCGGAAGAGACGAGCTGCTTGAGACCGAGGGCTTCCTAGACCCAGAAGGAGGCCGATAGCCGTCGGTGGGACGCTGGCGGACGGCAGACGGAAGCGCTCCCGTGTTCCGTCGCGCTCGCTCAGCGCCAATGGCTTCGAGATTGTCTACCCAGGCAGCTTTACTGTTGTTGCCAACGTTTTTTCTTGTTCCCCGACGGGGCAACAGTCCGGCTTGTTTGATTTGATCTTGAGGGGGATCGCTCCGCTTGCCACAACGAGCGTGGCTGGGCCGCGTCAGCGGAGAACTACCCTTTTTTGCCCCGTTTGTCAAAATCGCAGAGCGCTAGCGGCATAGCTACTCTTTGTAGAGTCCGCGAGCTCTATGGCCTCCGAGCTGTACTCACCCAGACTGACGCCCTTGGGGATGGCGGGGTAGCCCTGGCGTTCGCTGTTGACCGCGTCCACGAGCGCCTCCAGGGCGTCCAGCATGACCAGGCCCTCCTGCGTCCGGGGCCCGCACCCGAAGAGCCCGGCGCCGCGAGACCTCAGCGCCAGCACAGCGCCTGTAGCGGTCACCGCAGAAAGCACATGTCAGGCATGCTCGGCGGGGAGCTGGTGACCTCTCGTGCGTTGAACACACCGCGCCGCAGGTTCACTCACCTAGGAAGGTGTTAGCGCCCGGGTTGATCTCTATCGGCGGCAGGGCCGCGCTGGGCCCGGGGCCGGGGCCGCCTCCGGAGCCGCCGCCAGGGCCGGCCCCGGAGCCCGCCCGGATGGCGCCCAGGATGCATAGTGCCCCCAGCAGCAGCGGCAGGGCGCCGCCCGCCGGCATCCTACCCGCCGACGGTCATCTGCAAACAAACAAACAAGAAGGCCGCCGTCATTCCGACAGAAGGAAAACCGGCGAAAAAAGGCAGGTGCATCCTAGTCTCGCAGTATGAAGTATATTCTTCTCCTTTTTTCCGAGTCCTGCCCCGCCCCATTGTCCGCGGTTCGTTGTAGTGCGAGTGACTGAGTGGGTGGCAACCCGCCGTGGGGGGAAGGGGCGCGGAGGGCGCGACAGGGCGGCCCGGGCCTAGGCGGACCCATTGCACGGCCGGTGAACTTCTCACAGCGGATGGCGAGTGAAGGGGAAACCGCGGGAACGTCTGCCGTCCCGGCAACTGCACAACGCCGCACAACACAGAACAAGTCATCCCACGGCAATAACCTCGTCGTTGAGGTGCGACTCGAGCGTCGACCAGGATGGAAAAAAATGGCTTCCGCGGCGGCAGAGAGAGGTCCCGAACCCGCGGTGAGGGCGGCGGCGGCGCTGCAGTGTCGTAGAGACGGAGAAGATGAGCCGAGGCCGGTGACGACATATACGACGAAACGAAAGCGGCGACAGTCCAGGGACGAGCGGGTTTCCTCCAATTTTCTTCCACTCTTTTACGGTGTATGAGCGCACACGGGATGAAGTGGGCGTGGCCGCCGTGGGGTGGCGGGGCGTGGCGTACCGTGGCGTACCGTGGCAGGCCGAGGCTTGCATTACACCTGCTAAGGTGCGCGCTGACACGCTTGACATCGCGGGAGCAAGGTCGACGAAAGACGAGGCGGGGGGAGTGAGGGGCTCCGGCGCGACGAACCGCGAAGCAAAGGGAAGGGCGGCGCGGCTGGGCGAGGCTGGACCGCGGCTCCTCTGGTGCCGGAGCATCCTCATCAGCATCGTCCCTCGCACCGCACGCTGACCGGAAAGATCATCCTGCACGCCACCGCTGCTGGAAAGGGATCCCTGGAGGACACGCACCTTTACCTTAGGTGAGGGGGGAAGAGTGCGACAGCGGTGCAAGCAGCTACTGGGCGAGTGAGAGAGAGAGAGAGAGAATGATAGAGGGGGAGCTCCTTTCTCTCTTTCTCTTCCAATCCTGGCTTCGCTGCGCCACAGTGGGTGGATGCGCAGAAGGGAAGTAGTCTTTCTCTCTCTAGGCGCTGGGAGGATAACCCATCACCATCACGGTCTCGAGGGGGGCGTGGCGTGTCTCCGAGCGCGCCGCGCGGCCGCGGGGCCGAGCAGCCACACAGGCCTACCGACAAAACACCTAAAGCCTTTCACTCCCACGTCGGTCGCCCGGGGGCGGGGCGGCGGGCGCCGCTGCAAGCGCTGCACAGCTCTAAAGGCGCGCACTTCCCGTCCCGTCTCCAGTCGGAGAAATTAACGACATTGGGTCGCGTTCGATGGAGACATTGTACACTGTACGTACAATGTGTTGGGGCTACAACACAACAGAATGCGGGTTTGCCTGCTCGGTCCATTCGTAAGGCACAATGGCCGCTTGAGTAGGTACACTTGCAAACAATATGTTGTGTGCATAGCCCTGACACACAATATGTGTAAATAAATAGGGATCATCTAGAGAGTACGCCCGTCATTCACCGTCACGAAATTGCCCAGTTCAGCCCGTGGCCCCTCATAGCGCCTTATAGGTAGGCGACATCATGCCTGCAGTGCATGCGTGTACGGCGGGGTGGCCTACCCGGAGTCTCGCAGGCGCCAAGCTCCAGTAATTTGCTGAATGAACCTGAGAAAAAAACGGACGTACTTTCTGGACGACCCCACAGAAAGGCGTCGTTCTGGTACTGGTTGCTGACGGCGAGGGCGGCGAGGGATCCTGGGGAGGACCCGGTCGAGTACACCTGCCGGGGACCCTCGCAAGGGGACTCCGTGAGGAAGCCGGCAACGCCCCGCCGGCCACGGGCGCAGCCACGGGCACAGCCACGGGCACAGCCACGGGCACAGCCACGGCCCTAACGGAAACGGAGTCCCGTGCCTTTTAGAATAAGTGGCACTCTTATTAATTCCGGCCCGCCCCGGCAATGCAACTGCGCCCCGCCCCGCCCCGCCTTCCCACCGACGCCTGGGGACACGATAAACGTAAGCGCGAGATCTAGCGATGTGTGCAAAACAGCGCGCCGGCCGGAGCCGCAGCAATTTGCCAAGTGAGGCAGGACGCGCGTCGGAAGGGGAGAGAGAGAGATTTCTCCCAGCCATGGCGCGGCTATTAGGTGTACGCGTCAAGCGCTCCGGCGGCGCACTCCGTTCATGAAAAATGTAACAGCTGCGACTGTCGGTGTCACCGCTGCAGTTGGCAGCTGCCACTGGTGTGGTGGTCCACTCGCGAGAGCACCCGCGCGCGTCTGCACCTGTGCACCTGTGCACCTGCTCGCCGTCTCCAGCCGCAGCGCGAGGGAAGTTGTCGCCCGTACTCCCGCGGACGTGTGGCGCCGAGGCACCGCGTAGCGGAGGCGGTAAGCAAAGAGCACCCCGACAGTTAGTTCGTCAGCTTCCGTCCTTTTGCAGATGTCACCGGGGCCATCTGTCACCGCAAACTGTATAGCGCTAGTTTGGCGTGTCTGCGGAGACCAGCAGCGGTGGCGGTGTAAGTACACGGGAGTCGCGTAGAGGCGAGTGTGAGGAGTGAGCTGAGCAAGCGAGAGAACCGGACGGGGCTGCTGGGCGACCTTTCCCTCCCTGGCCCTTTCTAACGAGCTGCTGCTCCTTGAGAAGAGGCTCATAAATGGCGACGCGACGCGCCCCGCCCCGCCGGCAGGTTGGCAGGTGTGTTCTGCTGTCACCACCAAGTAAAGGCGGGGCGGGGCGGCGGCGCCTCCTCCGCGGTGGTACTCCGGCGCGGTGTGCTGCTCGCGCGCCACGGTGCACTTTATGAATGACAAGGGGCGCGTTATTCAGGTGAGGGACGTCCCACGGGCGCCGCAGCCGTCGCGTCGCTTTCACGCGTGAGCTGTCTGTTGAACGCCTCGGCGAAACACACACATAGACGCACACGAGCGCGTGCACACACACACACCAACTCACTCACACACACACTCACTCACTCACACACATACACACAAACTCACTCACATACACACACACACGCCGCACGGTCGGCCAGCGCCTCTAAGCAGCGCTCATGCACAGCGTCGTTTTCGTGCTGTTTGTTTTCGACATACCGTGCCAAGCAGGCGGGTAGGTAGTTAGGTATACGTCGCGGCGTTACGTGACTCCCTTACGGCTCACTTACTCGCGCCCTTTTTCGGACAGCTCCGTCTCCGTCCGTCTCTTCCCTTTCCTCTGCGCTGACAGCCGGCGGACAGCGCCATTGTCAGGCGGATTGTTCTGTCCCGCGGGCGCTGGGCTTTGCCACCCGGTTATACAGCCGCCCCCCGGCTATGGGAGCTTCTCACACCAGCTCAGCACTCTCTCGCCTCCTGCTCGCGCACAAATGAGTTACGGCTGTTTGCTCCGCCGTAATGGTAAGTAACACTTGAGCTGCATAGTGCTTTGCTTTCGCGCCTCGGAGCATCTCCACAGCCGCACACCCGTTTGCACACCCAGCAGTGCGAAGGACGGGCGTCCCATTTTTATTTTTTTGCATGACTACAAGTAAAGAATTGTTGGAAAGAGCGCGGAGCACCAGGCTCGTCGGGCTCGTCCCGGTGACCGGTGACGCGCGGTGATATTGATAATAAGACAAATTCTTTCGCCGAGCGCAAACAGAACGATTAGAGGTGAAACCCTCCGCCGCAACCCCTTCAGGACACTCGTGCCAGCTGGCGACATTCCTCGCCTGAGACGGCACGTGACCAGAAGGCTGTCCTTTTTAGGGAGTTTATGACGGGCGAGGAAGCCAACCGCCCGGCCCTAATTATAGAAGTATTTCAAGCAGCTGCCTGCAACCAAATCAAATAAACTCAGGGTAAAGAGAGCGGTAAAAAGACCCATCACCTTGCTGTTTGCATTGTTCCTTTGTTTGTTTGAACGTCCCTTACAGCTCGAATCTATGACAACACGACCACTTTCATTGAGTGAACACTGACCCGACTCGTCCCGTCGGCACGCACGCACACTCACACGCATGTCGAACAGAACACACCTTCCTGCGGGGGGAGAGGAGGATGGGGGGAGCCGGGCCCACTACAGCGGCCGGTCGGTGGGAAGAAAGGAGGGCTCGACCCGGATCGCGCGGCCGGGCTGGCTGGCTGGTGCCTCTGGCTGGCGCTGGCGCTGGCTGAGCCCGCCCGCCTCCTCCTGACCCGCGGGCCCGGCGGCTGCGTGAGGGAAAAGCACCTGTCTCGCCGTACTCCGTCTCTGTCGCTCTCGCTATGCTCGTGCAGGCTGCCTCGCCTGCTCCCCGTCGCGCTCATTATTAGGGCGATCGTTTTACAGTCCTCCCCCGCCCCACCCCGCC